ACACCTCTCTATATATATATATATATATATATATATATATATATATATATATATATATATATATAGCAACAATGTTAGTGCTGTTACTGTCAGCATTACTGATCCCAAACTTTTTAATTTTATAGTGTATGTACATCCGGCACACAGGTCAAGTTTCAAAAGTAAACCAATTGACTCGTCAATGGTTCTTTAAAATATTCATGTGTAGCTGCCCTTAGCTGAGCCCAGTATCAATCAAACTCCACCCAAAGCTGCCTTCAGCTAAAGCCTCTGTTAATATCTATGGTAATTACAGTAGCACAGAGCCCTATTGTACAGCTAGGGTTCATCCTTGGTGAGCATCACCACAAATTAGCTGCTTCGCTCCCTCTGTCACCTTCTCATAATTTTCCCTTAATTCACATGAAACTCTCTCAACAGAGGCTCTGAGTCTCTCAGAGTAGAATAAATCAAGGATTCCCCATTATAACTTTGGAAACTTTGGAAAAGCTTTATAGTTGTGAGGTATTTTTGTTGTGTCTACAGATTTGCGAAAACTCTCTCAGGTTAGTGCATCATTTTAACAGCAACTGGGCCTAAAATGAGTAAAACAGACCAGACACTAAGACACATTCAAGCATTGATGCCCTGACAGTAATTCAAAACCGTAAGAAAACAAAAACCTATAAATTTGGTTTGGGAAATAAATTTATTTCATGGATTAATTTGCTTTATTCTTCCCCACTGGCTGCAGTAAGAACAAACGACATTCAATCTGATTATTTTCGAATATATTGCTCTACAAGACAAGGATGTCCCTTAAGCCCTCCTTTATTTGCAGTTGCCATTGAACCCTTACTATCGCCCTTCGACCTAACTGTGCCATTACTTGCATAATTAGGAATCATGTTGATTTAAACGTTTCTTTATATGCAGATGATTTACTTTTTTATGTTTCTAATTGATCTGTTTCCGTCCCTGCTGCCCTGGCCACTCTTCAATCATTTGGTCAAATTTCTGGTTATAAACTGAATTTATCTAAAAGTGTAATGTTTCCCGTCAATGCATTAGCAAAGAATTTTCCTCTAAGTAGCTTACCCTTTAAAATAGCTTCATTTAGTTTTACATATCTTGGAATTCATGTTACACATAAATATGCAGATCTGTTTAAAGCAAATTGGACTCCTTTGTTGTTCCGAACTAGGGAGGATTTTGAACGATGGTCACTTATGAATCTCTTTAGCTCTTTAGCTGCTCGTATTAATGCTGTGAAGATGTTTGTTGTCGCACGATTTTTATATTTGTTTCAATGCATTCCCATCTTTCTCCCCCAGAATTTTTTTGTAGATTTAGACTCCAAGATTTTGGACTTTATCTGGAATAAAAAGATCAATCTGGCATTACCTAACCGAGGTTCTATTATTGGGCCACCAATATTAGAATTTTAAAATGTTGACTCCAAAATAAGAATTTAGAGTCTCTTCCCTCTTGGCTTATGATGGAAGCTAATTCTACTAAGCCCAGCTCACTGAATGCTTTTCTCCCATTCTGTCTTCTTCCTCACCTTTTGCTAAGAATTTGATAGTTGAGATCACTCTTAAGATTTGGGCAAAATTTAAGTGCTTCTTTGGATTACAGTCATACTCAATCCATACTCCGATAGCCGCTAACCATGTTTTTTCTCCCTCTCTGTTGGACAGTGCTTTTTTATTTTGGTCTAGTTGTGGCATTAATACATTTCATGATTTATGTATTGATGGCACGTTTGCTTTTCAACAGCTTAGGGGCAAATTTTCACTTACGAAGCATCATTTTTTCAGATACTTACAAGTTTTGCTCGGGCTGCATTTCCATATTTTCCTCTCCTACCAAATGATACTCTTTTGAATAGTTTTTTTTTTCACTCCAATTTGCACAATAAAATTATATTATAATTATAATTATACACAATATTCTCATTGGCTAGCAGATGTTCTTTATTTTATTAAGTTAGAAAAGGTACGATTCTCACTCAAGAAGTGTTCAAATAAGTTTTGGAAGTTGTGGGGTCTGCTCTTTCAGTATATTAAAGAGAGTAATTCTTCACCCAGTCCTAATTAGGACAGTTGGGCCTGACGGGTAAGGAGTAAGACTTGGTTTCTTATGGTTTTATTACAAATGTCATAAACAGCTTGAATAGCTGACTTTTATTCTGACTGTGTTTTGTTTGTTAGTGTTTTTTTTCTTTTGTAATTAATTATTGTAATTGACATCTTTAAGCAATTGTATCTTTGCTTTGTGTCATTGTTTATATTATTTGTGTGTTTTAAATCAATAAAAAAAATGGGGGGAAAAACAAAACAAAACAAAAACCTAAATCCTGCAGAAAATCTTTTGGCAGGCTGCTAGAAACATCTCCACAGTTTCAATCCATAAACAATTATGCCACTACATTATACACAGAGGCGGACAGTAGTGAATTATTTTTACTTTACTCAAGTAAATTTAAAAAGTATCTGTAGTTTATCAGAGTGTTTTTCTTTGGAAAACTTTACTTCACTACATTCCAAAGCATAATGTCATACTTTTTACTGCACTTCATTTCATTAATAAAAGTTGTTGTTTGTTTTAGCTTTAATACTTCAGAACATTAAAAATGTAGTACTTTCTTGTACTCAAGTAAATCTTTGAATTACTTTTACTTGAGTAAAAGTAAGAAAGTAATAGATTTCTAATGTAATTAAGTATTAAATTATATTTAATATGAAACGTAGTGCAGTAAAAAGTACAATATTATGCTTTGGAATGTTGTGAAGTAAAGTTTTCTAAAGAAAAACACTCTGATAAAGTACAGACATCTGAAAAGTACTTTTACAGCAGAGTAAAAATACTTCACTACTGTCCGCCTCTGAATACAGCAACTTATCTACCTTTACACTGTCAGTGTTTTACTAAATAAAAGCCCTGTTGTGCTCATAGGTGGGAAAAATCAATGGCTTGAAAGAATGAGCCCTCAGACACACATTCACACTGGAGCCCATAGATCTAAGACCATAAAATTTTATTTAGTACAAATGTATTCATTAAAAATAATTAACATAATATTTGAAGTGAAAAAAATATTTATATAAATACTGATGTAAATCAGGGCTCAACATTTTTTATAATCAAAATATATACAGTACTTGTCAAAAGTTTGGAAACATTACGATTTTTTAATGTTTTTAATTATGTCTCTTATGCTCACTAAGGCTGCATTTATGTGCTCAAAATACAGTAAAACACTAATATTGTGAAATAGTATTACAATTTAAAATAACTGTTTTCTATTGTAACATATTTTAAAATGTAATTTATTTCTGTGATGCGAAACTGAATTGTCAGCATCATTACTCCAGTCTTCAGTGTCACATGATCCTTCATAAATCAATGATGAAAACAGTTGTTTGTTTTTAATAGAAATAATTGCTTTTATTCAGCAAATATGCATCAAAAATGACAATAAAAACATTACAAATGATTCTATTTAAAATAAATGCTGTTCTTTTGAACTTTCCGTTCATCACAGAATTCATCAAAAATGTTTTACTACAAAACATTAAGCAGCAAAAACTCTGTTGTTTTTAACATCGATAATTATAAGAATCACTATTAATAACTGAGCACCAATAATAATTGAGCAGCAAATCAGCATATTAGAATAATTTTTGAAGCATGTGACACTGAAGACTGGAGTAATAATGCTGAAAATTCAGCTTTGCCATCACAGGAATAGATGACATTTATTTCAAATTGTAGTAATATTTCACAATATTATTGTTTTACTGTATTTTTGATCAAACAAATGCAGCCTTGGTGAGCATAAGTGACTTACTGTATAAATAATATATAATAATAATAATATAACAAAATTCTGTGTGTTTGTGTGTGCATGTGTGTATATAGTTCTAAAATCATGAAACTTTCTATTTATTTATGAGTTTAAAGTATTTATTAAATCCCTATTGAATCTGGAGAAATCGCTCAAGCCCTTTCACTAGAGTCTTGACAGTAGTGACAGAAAGAGAAATTTAAAACTGAACGCTGCTCCAGTGAACTCATATAAATCAGAGTGACAAGAGTTTTGTCACATCTTTATTCTTTGGCCCAAGCAGCATTCTGGACACATGAGCTGTATATGTATATTCCAACCCTGACAGTCTCTTGCGATCCTATATGACCAACAGAAGCAAGATGGGTGGGTGTGTATGTCGTATGTCCTGTTATGGATTTGCAATCTGTGTGTGTATATGTGGGCGTTTATGTACATACTGTATTTGAACGGTATCCTTACAAAATATACTTGATTGAACACAATCACAGTTGTAAAGTTATGCATCTTTCACACAGCGGTGTATTGTACACTGAAGACCTGTTTGCTTGTGCTCCATCCTTCTTTCTAGGTCTAGTCACTTTCTTTCAGCAACAGACATGAGATCATTACTCACTTTTGGAGTCTTTGGTGAGGCTGCAGGCACAGTGGTTACATGTTCATCAATTCATCTCAGTTGTTTGTTGTTCCTTTGAAGGGTGAAGATGCCTTTTCACCATGTGAGAGCAGGGCTGCTCTACACAGACAACTACCTGAGCACCTCTCTGCCTGAAACCAGTGAAGAACAGCTCGCCAACATCTCCACAGAAGAGCTTGGCGGTGAGTGAGAATGTGTGTGTCTGTGTGTGTTTTGTTTGGATGGCTGCCATTTGTCTCAGTGTAAATGTATGTCATTTTAAAGAATATACTGTATGCTTATATTTGAAGCATTGCCCCAGAAATGAAAATGCAGATTAATTCAATTTTATTTAAATTTAATTTAATTCCAAACCTGCTGTTATTTGTTTTTAAACATATAAACATTTTTTTGAAGATTCTTCATAGAAATCTTTCCATATAATGTTCATATTGACCACGTTTGTCAAGTTTCCTAAAATAAACAAAAACATATAAAACCATAAATGTCGTTTATATGGTTCGTCCTCTGTGTAAAAATGTAATTCTCTCTCAAATCCCATTTTCCCTTCTGCATATTTAAGCAAGAAATTTGGTTATGACACATCCAAGAACCAAATGTGGTATTGGAAACAGTTATGCCATATCATCTGGCACAAGGCATTATGCATGTTTTGAATCTGAATGTCAATGTAAATGATCATACATTTGTTCTATGAACTATGCTATGAACTGCTGTTTTTATGGAAAAGAATTTAATATTTCTTCATCTGTATTGCACAGAAAAATAACCGCAATTTGGTTTGTAACAACAAGAAGTTGACTACATAATGAAATTTTTCTTTTTTCTTTTTTTTGGTAAACTTCTTCCTCCTCACTGTTTTTAACATGGTCATTCAGTAGAACTTAATAACAGCAACCAAAAGTACCCCAGGGTTTATTCTCTTATGCCGTCAATGTGATAAACATTATAAACCCATTAGATACTGCCCCACTACAGTCCACTGCAACTGGAAATCTCACTTTCCTCATCTGGAATGTCTTGCCGGTCATGTGTAAAGGCAGTGCCTTAGGGCACACAAGAAGAAAATCGATGGTCTGACTGGTGGATTAGAGGGTGTTGTGAATACAGTGGTTGATTTGAAGAGATGTTTGAACTGTGAAACTCTCAGATGGAATTAAAGTTTTGCAGCACCTCCTTTGAAAATGATTGTTTTGACAGACCAGGAACCGAGGGCTGGCCACAGTGGGAGGATCAATGATTGCATATTCATGAAATGAGGGATAGAAAGTGAGAGTAGCAGTTCAGATGAGGTCTGTCTTTGCAGAAATAAAAACACTTGAGGGAGATAAAGAGGACCATGTTAAATAATGAGCCATTGGCTGAATCACTTATCAATTTAATTAACTCATATTGAATGAAATCTAGTTGCCTTGTAATGAGCCTTTGGACATTTGTCTAAATCTGGTAAAAAGTCACATTTAAGGCATAAAAAGAAGCTAAAATGTCATTTAGTCAAGACAAAGAGGCTTCTAGGAAACGGGACGTGTGGAGAGGGTTAGGTTTTGCTAATGACAGAGGAATTAACCCACATGTTCTAATGAGACTGACTTTTTGTTCTTTTATGCTTGGGGTCCCAGAGCCAATACCAATACCAATTTTTTAAAATGAATTAACCTATTACTAACTCCTTTCCTTGAATCCCCTTTTTTATTATGTACTTTCAGATGGGTCATTGTTATTTAGGGTGTGTTCACACTTGGTAGGTTTGGTTCAATTAAAATGAACTCTGGTGCGATTGGTCTAGTAGTGCAGTTCATTTGAATAAGTGTGAACACTGCCAACTGAACCTTGGTGTGCACCAAACAAGTGCACCAAGACCCACTTTGTCAGCTCTGGTGTGATTCAACTGAAATGTGAATGCTGTGCATTGTATGTGCAACTTTTACACATTTTATAACATCATGAGTTCTCATCCAGTAAAAATACCACCATATGCACATACAGTGGGTACGGAAAGTATTCAGACCCCCTTAAATTTTTCACTCTTTGTTATATTGCAGCCATTTGCTAAAATCATTTAAGTTAATTTTTTTTCCTCATTAATGTACACACAGCACCCCATATTGACAGAAAAACACAGAATTGTTGACATTTTTGCAGATTTATTAAAAAAGAAAAACTGAAATATCACATGGTCCTAAGTATTCAGACCCTTTGCTGTGACACTCATATATTTAACTCAGGTGCTGTCCATTTCTTCTGATCATCCTTGAGATGGTTCTACACCTTCATTTGAGTCCAGCTGTGTTTGATTATACTGATTGGACTTAATTAGGAAAGCCACACACCTGTCTATATAAGACCTTACAGCTCACAGTGCATGTCAGAGCAAATGAGAATCATGAGGTCAAAGGAACTGCCTGAAGAGCTCAGAAATTGTGTATATACTGTATATATATATATATATATATCTTCAAAATATTGGATAAGAAAAAATTAGTAGTACAAAAATAAAACAACGCCAATATTACAAAATATAACATTAAAAAGTGTATAAATCACTCGTTTTTCTAAAGAAACATTGTCCAACAGCGACACCAGAAGGTAAAGTTACATCGGGAGTCCGAGTCTCTCTCGCTTCCCCTGAGCCCATTGAGTTTTAACAGACCAACTAAAGCGTGCAGTGGGGGGGTAATTGAGAATGAATGGGGGAAAATCACGTGAGAGGAGGCAATGCCTCCATCACGATATGATTGGATATGACTGGTTATGTTCGGCTGTGATTGGTTCATGCGATAAATCCCGCCTATTGTGTTCATGTGAACTCACACACTTAGATGTAACCACTTTATTACGTCAAAATAAGACTTGAAATGGTCTGAAAACATGATCTGTGGGAGTTTTTAGTGAGTACATCAGCTTGTTGAAATTTAAAGTAAATTTCTGTGTCTGTGACCAATATTTACTGAGCTTTGATGACTGATGAACCGAATAATTCAAAAATAATTAAAAGTTAACTATTAAAAAGAATAGCTGAACATAAGTTCACAAATAAAATAATTTGTTTAAATTGTTACTGCCTCGAGTTATTATTTTGAAATAAATGTAAAATGCTTAATAACTTGATGAGATTCATACTTGGCTTTAATAAACAGAATATTGATTACATTGTTAATGTAAAAATATAAAATAGAATTGTATTTGTTGTTGTTGTTTTCTGGTAGTGTAACATTACGTTTATTTAACCAGGAACATGTGACTGAGACAGGAATTTACATTTGATT